TCAACCCCCCGGCCCCTTTCCCCAGCCTCAGGGGATGTTGGCCCTTCACCCACCGCAGCCTGGCTGTCTGCAAGCCAAACAGGCCTCCCTGGCCGGGCCCCAGTGGCGGCTGAGCGGGCGTGTCGGCCTTGTGCACCGCTGGGCCATCTTTCCAGAAAGTCAAAGCTCGGTGCATTGACCGTACAGAACAGCCCTGTAGCTCTGTGCGCGGGCATGGCCGTGGACACAAAAGGCCTCCCAAGTCTCATTCCAACACCCCGGCTACACTGGACACTCAGAGGCGTGGCAGAGGCTGCAGGCGGTGCCAATGGGCGAAGGAGTCTCTGTGGCTTTTTTTTTTTTTTTTTTTGGTCACTGAGGCTCCTCACAATGAATGAGAGGTGCCTACTAAGCCCCGCTTTAGATCTGGAAGGGCTGGGTGCGTGCTGTTTGCTATGCCTCCTTCTCGGAAGGATGATACCACAGCCCAGAGCTGGAACCGGGTCCCCATTCTGTGCATCAAAGGACACGTAATTCCACGTGCCTATGCAGGTTCAGAGAAACAGCCCCCGTCGGAGGGGACACGGGGAAGACGGTCAGTCAGTGCCGAAAACCGCCGACGCTCCCGTGTCCACGAGGCACACATGGGGATGTTCATGGAAGCAATTAAATGCGTGCAATATGCCTGGCTGGTGTAGCTCAGTGGATTGAGCACGGGCTGCGAACCAAAGCATCGCAGGTTCGATTCCCAGTCGGGGCACGTGCCTGGGTTGCAGGCCATGGCCCCCAGCAACCGCACATGGATGTTTCTCTCTCTCTCTCTTTCTCCCTCCCTTCCCTCTCTAAGAATAGATAAATAAAATCTTAAAAAGAGAAAGAAAAGCAGGATCTAAACATCAAAGAAAACAAATAATAACGGCATGCAAGATGCTGGCCACTCCACCACGCATCGTCGTACGCGTCAGGAAATCAGTCCCGGCTGGGAGGAGCTTTCCGTTGCGCCCGAAGGTCTTTCAGCGCTCACGGGGAAGGAGGAAAGGCGTGGGGCGCCCTGACCGTCGGTGACCCGGGGCGCGTGCGTCTTCACCGTCCACGGCTGGGGTGGGCCCCTCCTGTCTGCTGCGTTTCAAAGGGCAGGCTTGCAGGCAGGTGGAAGTCTCTCTCTCCCCTGCCTTTGCTTTTGCCGTGCAACCAGCACCGCTCGCGGTCACGTGGGATCGGTTCGGTGCCTGCCTGTGGGTCGAGGTGGGCGGAAGGCGGCCACAGAACCTGGGGCGGGGAAAGGCCCGACTCCAGTGCCTGGGTGTGTAGGCCAAGGCTCCGAGACTTGGCATCTGCCCTACGGCCCAGTGACCTGTGACCCGGGCGGGCCCAGCGAGGCTCACGGTAAAAGCAGAGGTCCAGCGGTCCAGCGAGGCTCATGGGAAAGACACGGAGGCAGGGAGCTCCATCAGCACGCTGCAGCCATGCCTGCCGGGGCCCGTGCGTGTTCACCTCCTTCCCTCACGCCGTGGGCTGCGAGCAGAAACCAGCCCAGCCTCCCGAGCCGTACCCAGAGGAGCACCAAAGGAGTGGGGGGACGCAGCACAGCGGAAAGGGGTGGGGGGTGGTAAGTGGCGATGAAAGACTTGAGTTGGGCCGGTGGACACACAATACACAGAGGACCGGCTGCAGAACCGCACACCTGAAACCTATATGCCTTCATTAGCCAGCGTGACCCAATACAGTCCGTTCCACGAACCCTAGACAAGCAACGATGTGTAGGAGGCGCCCTGCGGCCCTGTGACAAGGGCAAGCATGCGGTTGGTGGCTTCTGATAAAGGGGGACCCCACCGACACACGTCCCAGCAACCCTGCGTCCGGATCCCAACCCAAAACACGAACCTGCGTGCACACAAAAGCCCGTGCACGCAAACGTTCCTGATACCTTTAGCTGGAATCCTCAACACCTGGAAATCACTCCAATGCTCTTCGACAGGAAAACAGCCAGCCAACTGCTCCGTACCCTCCCTGCCCCCCACGTATCCTTCAAGTGCAGTTTGAGCAGCAAAGAACGAACTACCGCCCCCAGCTGGAGTGGCTCAGTGGATTAAGCGCCCGCCTGTGAACCAAAGGGTCACCAGTTCGATTCCCAGTCAGGGCACATGCTTGGGTTGCGGGCCAGGTCCCTAGCTGGGGCGTGTGCAAGAGGCAACCGCACATGGGTGTTTCCCCCCCTCCCTTTCTCTGTAAAAATATACAAATAAAATCTTAAAAAGAATGAACGACAGCCATCCCTCCTTCTCCCTCCCTCCCTCCCCTCCATTATTTGCTACCCAGAATGCAAAGTCAGGGCCGAGACTTGGCCACACAGAACCCGCCAGCCCTTCCGGGAGACAGGGCCAGCCTGGCGGCAGTCAGGAATGCGTCGCCAGCTGCAGTGTGGGGCTCTGAGTTTGCATGACTGACACGTTGGTGAAGAGGAGGAGGCAACACAGGGGCCGGAGGGGGACCGTGACCGAGAGACCAGTTTGCATTTCCTGAGCTGGAAAAGAGAGTAACAGTGACAGGCTCAGGAGAAGGTGCCTCGTGCACTTTGACCTCTCAATGCCCTCTCACCTCCTGGGACTGCACCTCCCCCAGCGAGCGCTCGGGCCCACCGACCACCAGCCTCGGAAGGGAGGCCTGCTACAGACACGGGCCTTGGGGAAATTCTGTGCCTTGCTGCCTCTCCCCCAGCTGCCAGGTCACGGGAACGATCAACAAAAGGAGATGAAAGGCACCCAATAGGGAAGTCTGGGCTTCCCGGGGGAGAGAGGAGGTTCTTCTGACGATTCAAAGAGGCTACTAGTAGCATCCCTGCCGTCCTGGGACCCTGGGACCTGGCACCTGCCGCACCCCCCACAGAGACGTTCGCCCTTGCCCTTCACGTGTCCCCATGTCCACGAACTCGGGAACCACAGTCTCACGAGCCATGTGCTCGCACGGGGGAGCAGGTCTGGTGCGTGGGGTCTTCCTCCGCAGACATGGGGCAGGGACGAGGTCCGAGACAGGAAGGGGCACCCCTGTGGTCTAGATGAGCCACTCCCGCCAGGTCCCAGGTTCTGGGCTCCGAGCGGCGGGAGTCATTTCCCCAGTTTACCCTTTGCTTTGTGTATCAGTTTCTCCCACTACGCTCTGGCCAGAGCTCCCTGCAACGCTCGCATCTCTCTGCAGAGAGGGTATGCACCCTCCATGGATGACGCCCACCGGGGGCCCTGGTGACAGGGATCCAGGCTGGGGCAAGCATGGGGGTTTACTCACAACATGCCACGTGCCTGGAGGGCCTTACCCCTTAGCCTGGGAAAACCACTTTCGGCAAAGGTTAGGTTCCGAGGGACTTGTCCAAGGCTTGGAGCTGGAGCCATTGGTCTGGCCACCACGCTGCCCCCCACCTCCCCCTCCAGGGACGCAGAGAGAGCCGGAGCTCAGGGCTAATGCTGCTCCACCCCCGCCCCCCCCAGTCCCAGCACCTGCGCCTTTGGGAAGCGGGACCTGGAAACTGGTTTCCTTGTTGCAAAATCAAGTTGCAGAACGTAGACACTATGATACCAGGTATCTAGACACTATGATACCAGGTATCTAAAGTGTAAGCTCGCGGAGAAGCCACTGCTCTGGGTCGGACTGTGTCCCCCACCCTCAAATACGTGTGGATGGAGTGCTCTCCTGGGCGCCCTCAGGATGTGACTTTTTATTTATTGAAAAAGTGTCACTGCAGATACAATTAGTTACCGCGGTCACACTGGAGTACAGGGAGAACCCACTAAGAGTATCTTCTGCGAAGAGGAAACCTGATACCTGTGGGCAGGTGCCCACACACAGGGAGAATGCCACAGGAAGGCAAAGGCGGAGGTGGGAAGGGGGCGGGGGACCCACCTCTATGCCAATGGAACTGACGAGGCTGGGGCGAGGGGCCTGGGACAGACCCCTCAGAGCCCTCAGCAAGGACCAGGCCTGCTCCACCTTGATGTCGGACTTCTGTCCTCGAGAACTAGGGGACAGGGAAGCTCTGTAACCAGCCCAGCCCGGGCCTCTTGGTGCCAGGACTCCGGGTGGCTCAGGGCAACACCCTTGTGGGGTACGTCCATGGCGATGAGACCCACCGTGCCCAGGAGGCGGGCCCCGCTGCGGGGAGACAGCAGGGGCAGCTGGACTCGGGGACCCCACTGCACCGGACACAGGTGACTTAAGTCAGGTGATGCCGTTTTGACGTGGCCAGTGAAATCTCGTCAAGTTTTACAAGGGACAAAAGGCGTATTCCCTTTCGAAAGTCATCAAGAGATTAATAAAAAGCACCGACACGCCGCTCTGTAAAGTGGGGTGAGTCTCCACTGTGGGGGGCAGCCCCGATGTTGCATAAAGGGGAAACCACGGCTCCTCACTCGATGTCCAGGGGGAACTCGCGTGAGGAATCCTGCTCACCTGTGACAAAGCCGGGCCCCAGCCCGGCACACCCCTCAGCCCCCTTCGCTGCCCCCCGAGGCCAGCACCTGCTCAACACCAGGTGCACTCTGAGCGCAGGGCACGTGCCCTTGGCCCGGATCTTCCTCAGCAGAAAGGACACTCTCGGTCATCACAGCCGTGCGCTCAGAGACTTGCGTGGAGCGCCCCTTTTAGGGGGCGTGTGGAAGCTGAGTCGGTCACAGGTCCCCCGTCCAAGGGGTTCGTGCCTACGCAGCGACCCATCGACACTCCCAGGACGCCCGAGCCCCAGGGCACCACCACCTCCCCGTGGCCAAGTGCACCTCCAGCACAGCCGCCCCGGTCTCCCTTCCCAAGGAGACCGCTCCGGTCCGGTCCGAACTGTTGGGGGAAGAGAGACTACACCCCTTCACGCCGCCCCGGGAACGGGGCGGTCCCCGAACCTGCTGGGGTCCCCTCGAACACTCCAGGCCTTCCGCCGCCGCCAGCCTGACCCCCCCTACCCACGCGCAGTGGCCGTGTCCTGTGCACACGGCCGGCCGGCGACCCGGCCGCAGACAGACACGCGCCCCCCCTCTTACCTGACTCCTGGAGGTACCGATACACCAGGAAGTTCACCTCGTCGCTCGTTATGCTCATCTTAGCCTCACCTCGAGGTGACGAGGCCTTCAGGAAGCAGGAGGCACCCTCTGCGGGAAGGGCGGGGGGGGGAATAACGGAGAGAGCTTCAGACACGGCCCGCTACGTAGCGCGTTCTTCTGCGTTCTTTTGCAGACGATGAGACACACACACACACACACACACACACACACACACAAACAAAAATCCCCACCCAGGATGTTATTCCCATGCAGCGAACACACGTCTGATTCGTGTCCTACTGTGGGATCGCGTGTCACGTAAACATTTCCTAATGATTTACGTAAAACACCAAATATCCTGGGGAAGCGATGTTAAGATAAGAAACGCTAGTGCGTTTTGTGAGGCCGGCGTGGGGTCGGGTCACACACCAGGTCACCCACGCAGACAAACTCGGGGGCGAGAGCAAAGGAAAGCAAGCCGACTTGTTGTTCGGTAAAAGCCACGTGTGCGTTACGCCGGCCGTGAACTTGAGCACGGCCACGAGTGGAATCCCGCTGCCCGAGACAGACGCACTTGGCTTTGACTCTCGGCGCCCTTCCGGACAGCAGGGGGGGTTCCTGAGTAGACCGGCAGGCTGGTGAACTTGACACCCTCCCCTCACAAGAGTGTAACTGGCAAGCTCACGGTCATGCGTACCCAGCGCGGAGGAGAAATGAAAACTCGTGAGCGGCTAGGCAACTATGTATCGGGGTGGCCAAAAAGTTCGTTTGGTTTTCCCCGTAAGATGGGCTAGGCAGGCTGAGTTGTCTTTAACTTCCTTTGAAACAATTTTGTTCAATTGTATTGTCACCGCTGTCCCATCAGTGTGCATTAAACAAAAAAATACTTATCAGGATCGGTGAGTTTTTGTGTAGCCATTCTAAGATGGAAGAGGGAAGGAAATTTGCAACATTCTCAGCATTATGTTGCTTTATAATTTCCAGAAAGTTAAAAAAACGCACCTGAAGTGCAAAGAAAAAAGATTTGCGCTGTGTTCGGAGAAGGCGCTGTGACTGATGGAACATGGCACGAGTGGTTTGCGAAGTTCCGTGCTGGATGTCTCGCTGGACAGTGAGTCTCCGCAGTCGGGTCGACCAGCTGCCCCGGGCGGCAATCCAGTCGAGACACTCATGGAGAACAACCAAAGTTCCAACCTCACGGGAGGCAGCCAACATACTCCAAATAGCCCAGTCAATGAAGCTATCAGTGCCAATGGACAACGTGCCTTTTCCTCGACCGCAGACGGCCGGCCCCCTGGCCCACATGCACCCGAGCTGGTGCCCTCAGGCAGCTGGCCAGGCAGGTGGCACATGCAGAGGCCTGGAAGGAAAGCACGAGCCCCAGAGGCTGAAAGTGTCTTCCTTGGGACACCCGGGGGCCCAGTGCTCAGCCTGACACCTCACTGGGTTCTGGAAATAAAATGGGGGTGCTCCTCTACATTGGGGTGCACAGGCTGGTTCCCACCCTCGGCTTCCTCGTGTGGGCCCTCGAGCTGCGAGGGGCACTGACCGTTTTAAGTGACAGGGAAGAAAGCCAAAACACGCGTATGTTGCGACCCACCACGTGGCCGTCCCGTTCCAGGGTGCGCGAATAAAGCTTTATTGGCAGAGACGGGCCGGCCCACGACGCCTCAGGGTGCCATTCCCCAGCGTGACCCAAAGGGACCGTGCGCACGGATGCACTGCACGGTGACCTTCCCAAGGCGCTCACCCAACCCAACAGCACGGAGAAAGCGAGACCCCAGTGCTCTCCTACACACAGTGGCTCCTCACTCGATGTGTCCTTACGGCCCACAGTTCACCCCCCGCCCCGCCCTGAGCCAGGGGTACACGCAGGAGAAATGAAGACAGAGGAGCTCACCAACACGCCCCTCACACACACACACACACACACTCACAGCAGCAGCGCTGGAACCACCGGAAAGGTAACCACACGCCCACGTGCGCCAGCGGATGGACACGTCACAGAATATTATTTGCACATCCAAAAAAAGGCCGATGCAACAGCATGGATGCACCGTGAAAAGATGAGGCCACGAGAGAGGCAGGCAAAGCAGGCTTCACGTGCCACGCACTTTTGTTTTTATTAACACACTCGACCGTTCCAATATCCACGTCAAGCCATCACACTTCTTAAGGCACAGCCTGGAAACAGTGTTTTGCCTTTGTTAAGAACACTGTTACAGATTGTTTTTTAAACAACAACAGAAAAGAAGACCTGAGATTGTTTCTTTCAGGAATATGTAGGTCCATTGTCTTAGTTCTGATTGGGTTTCTGACAACAGTAAAGTAAAAAAAGTCCCCCAAATGTTCACCTTTATCTTGTAAAAATTATAAACATTCTGTGGGAGATGGTTTTATTTAAAAAAATAATTAAACTACCATAAAATACAAAAAGAAAGAATAAAATCAAACCCTAAAATCCTGTCCACCACAAGATAAGAACGTTTATGGAGTGTATATATAATTTTTTTTCGTGGGGGTCGAGTATCCATTCTAATTTGGGGTGTGGGTAACCCCCCTTGACAGTTGGGTACCTAGGGTTGCCTAGGGTTCACGCTTCTGGAAACCTCACCTGCTCACTAGATCAGTATAGGCTATTCTATGTTTTCCTAACAGTCTCAAGGTTAACTAGCAAATCAAAACAGACACGCAGGGTATTAAGAAACCGAGAAGGCATAACATTAGGAAAGAGGAGCCAAATACAATCTGTACGCATAGGCTCCACGGCAATGGATTTTTTTTGGTTTAATTTTAACCCTGAAGAAGAAGAAAAGAAAAACAAAACGTTTTCAGACAGAAGGTACTGAAGGGTGGCAACACGCACGTCTGCTTCCGAAGCAGGTTTCCGGTGGACAAGCACTGAGGGGCGAGCCAGGCGGGCGCTTACCTTTACGGGGACTTCATCTGCGGACCCGCGGACCAGTGGGCTCCCCGGCATGCGCGCGTGCCACCGCGAAGGGCCTGCCTGCCGAGAGACGGAGAGACTGGGTCACACAGAGTCCGTGCTTTTCTTTGCAAAGGGGAAACCTCCAAGTGTCTCGGGGTATCTGGATGGGACTGACTATATCGTATCCAAAGCACACACAGCTCCCCGCCTGCCCCCGGACAAGAAATCATGCTACAGAGTAACGTTACAGATTTACAGATCGCTCTGGGAGGTGTTCGTAACAGTAACGACCGCTTGTTTGTGTGTTTCGGCCCGCCCGCCCGGTACCCACCGCGCTCAGAGCAACCACACGCACCGCAACCGAGTCCCTGCTCTTCCCTCCGGCGCGGCAGGAGGAGGCACTCACGCGCACATCTCGACTTTCCAGTCTCTGACTCACACGGTCGCATTCCACAGGGCTCCCGTCCGCCCCGACCTGACCTGCGGGGAGGGCAGGCTCGCACCTCGCCGCCGCGGCCCTGCCCGCCGGAGACTTGTGTTTCCTTTTCACGCGGTGGTGGGCGCACCGCGGCGGAGTCCGTCAGCACGGCCGCAAACCTGCGGCCCTTCCTCCGCACACGCCTTTGGTTGGGAGGGACACTCCAGCCCCCTGAAGTGCCCGTCATCTATGATTATCTGCAAGCCTAACAACTTCATCGTGTCCTGGCCGCATGGTTCCGTTGGCCAGAGCGTCGCCCCCGATACGCCGGGGCTGTGGGTTCGATCCCTGGTCCCGGCACATACAAGGGGCAACCTACGGTGCATCGGTAAGAGCAGCAACACATGGGGATTTCTGTCTTCCCTCTTCCCCTCGTTGTAAAATCAACAAATTTTTTTAAAAAAGAAGTAAAACGCCCACCATGTTCTCCAAATTCTTGTTTCACAGTTTTACGTGATTAAAAAAAGAAAGAAAGAGTTACGAGGGTTGACTATGATTCCAATCCACGGGCAACGCTGCGAGTGCAGATGTCTCTTGTGCGTGTAAGTACACGGCACGCCGTGACACCCTTGCCGGTGTTGCAGCTTACTCCCCCTGAGCCGCGCAGCTTAAAGAAAAAGGAGGCGAAAGGGTTCCGCCCCGGGCAGGCTCAGGGCAGTAACTGGACATAAACACAGCATAACGGTATGTAACGGTAAAAGGAACAACCAGCGTTATGTAAAGGAAACGAACAAACAAAAATCTACCCTTCTGGGCGGGGGCGGGGGGGAATGATATTTAAACAACATCTGTCTACCACTCTTGGAGTGAAAACAAAAAGGAACCACAGTAAAAGCAGGCACGAGGGAACATTGATTTTGCTCATAAAACACAAAGACGTTTCACTGGGAGAAAAGTTCTGCCGTGGAGCTGGAGCAGGACCAGACTCCTTCGAGGCACCTGAAGCAGGCACGGCGAGTGAGTGCCTGGTCGCAGGGCCGGGCTGGGAAATGCCGGAGGGGTGGGGGTGGGGGGGCGGGGGCGGGGCGGGCGGGCGGGTGGAGACCTGGCCTCCCGCCGGAATTGCTAAATCCCGTCAACTGTCAAAATATCAGCAGCTGTCACCACAATGAGCTCCAAATTGCTCGAAAATTAAAACATTAAAATCCATAATAATCCAATAAGTAATTAATATAGAAACAGCTCTTACTACAAGCTGTTCACCAAAAAAAAAAAAAAGCTTTAGAATCAAATTCTTATTCTTTGGTCCAGAAACAGATGGCAACCCACAACTAAAGAGTCTTGGAATGGAAGATTATCTTTTCTATATGTTGTCAAACTCAGTAAGTGTAATTAACATCATCTATGTGTTATCAATGCCAAAAAAAGACGGAGAAATGTGACTTTGGTTAATAACATTCTTCTGGTTATGCAACATGTCAACATTCATTAGTTTATTACTAGAAACAAGGAATTAAAATGAGAGTCCCCGGCTGGGTGGCTCACTGGGTTGGAGTGTCGCCTGGGACACCGAAAGGTTTGTGGGTTTGATTCCCACTCAGGGTGCATACCTAGGTTGTGGGATTGATCCCTAACCAGCATGTTTATGGGAGGCAAAATGATCAATCTCTCCCCCCCACCCTCCTTCTTTCTCTCTGTAAAACCAATTTTTAAAAAATTCTTGGGTGAGGATTAAAAAACAAGAATAGCCCTGGCTAGCGTGGCTCAGTAGACTGAGTGCCAGCCTGCGAACCAAAGGGTCACCAGTTCGATTCCCAGTCAGGGCACAGGCCTGGGTTGTGGGCCAGGTCCCCAGTAGGGGGTGCTCCAGAGGCAACCACACATTGACGCTTTTCTCCCTCTCTTTCTCCCTCCTCTCCCCTCTCTAAAAATAAATAAAATCTTAAAAAAATAAATTAACTGACTAATTTAAATGAGCAATCTGACCTTCCAGCCATCACCGATTTCCCTGTTATGACCACCCAAAGAGAACCATTATCCACAAACAGCACTGGCAAAAAGTTTACAGGCTACACATTGCTTGTAGGACAGGCAAATAAGTTTAATGAACTGGACACATTCTTTACTCTTTTTTTTTTTAAGATTTTATTTATTTATTTTTAGAGAGGGGAAGGGAGGGAGAAAGAGAGAGAGAGAAACATCAATGTGCGGTTGCTGGGGGCCATGGCCTGCAACCCAGGCATGTGCCCTGACTGGGAATTGAACCTGCGATGCTTTGGTTCACAGCCCGAGTTCAATCCACTGAGCTACGCCAGCCAGGGCTTCGATATGCATTTTTTTTAAAAAGATTTATTTATTTATTTTTAGAGGGAGGGAAAGGGAGGGAGAGAGAAACATCCATGTGTGGTTGCCTCTCATGTGGCCCCCACGGGGGACCTGGCCCACAACCCAGGCATGTGCCCTGACTGGGAGTTGAACTGGCGACCCTTTGGTTCACAGTCCGTGCTCCATCCACTGAGCTATACCAGCCAGGGCACATTCTTTATTCTTAAAAAGACATGGCACACCGACAGGCCCCGTGTTCTGGTGGCTGTCAGCCTGAGGGATGGCGTGGCGCCGACGTACCCTGGCAGTCCTTCCACCACCTTTGGGCGCCTCCGGCCCGCACTGGGAGAAGAGTTGTCGTCTTGGGCCACCCGTTAAATACGCTCCCACTCACAAACACTGATGAGCCCCACACACGTTCTGAGAGAATTAACAATTTAGTGTCGGGCTGCCTTCCTAGCCACGCTGGACCACAGGGTGGACGCCCCCGGGAGGGAGGACCCCCCCCCTGAGACATGGCCAGGGTTGTGCAGTCACCCACCCGCCTCCACCCTGTCTAGCAAAAGCAGCCGCGTCCCTCCACGGGAAACCTGCGCCCATCCGCCCGGGCACCGGGACGGCACCAGGCCATTCTCCATCCCTCGGGGCGGCAGCTCCCGGGGGAAACTCCTTTGCTTGCCTTTGTCCTCCTGCCCTGGACTCCGAGACGCAGACCGCAGATGGGACAGGAGCAGGCAGGCGTGGCTGGAAAAAGCTGCTGCGACCCGGGAAGGCCGGGGAGCCGGGGACCGAGGGCAGGGAGGCGGGGACCGGCCAGCGACGGAAAGGACGCTGGAGACGATGACGCCTCCCGCACTACTGGTGGGGCAGACGCTCACTCTCCCGCTCAGCACCTTGTCCAAGCGCCACACGCCAGCCAACCAGGCGCACAGGAATATTATTATGATTATTACGTTTTGTCTTCAGCCCTGGTGGTCACCCCAACCCCCAACCTCCGGCGGTCTTAGCCCCCACTGCGAGTTTGCAGGGGCTGGTTAGATTCATGATGTCCTCAGGAGTCCACAGTGGTTGCCCACGCACCTCTGACACCGGAATCTGATCATGACTCACACGTATGTAACCCCTGATAAAAGCTCTGGATTTTCACGGCACGTCCCTATTCAAACACAGTGGGTCCCCACCGGGGACCACAGTGCCCTCCATCCGCCCCAGGGGACGTTCCGTAACGCCTGCAGACGTTTGGGGTGGTGACGCCAGAGTGGGGGATCCTCCTCCCCTTGTGTGTGCAGTGACGGGGAATGCCAGTGACCAGCTGACCACACACCCGATCGGCCCCCAAATGCCGATAACGCCGACGCGGAGAAACCGCAACAGAGCAGAGCTTGCAGTCCCCGGGTTCACCTCTTCCCGCCTCTCGCACCCCACTTTCACAGGGAAGCATCAGGAGGTGAGAGGACACTTCACACACCCCTTAGCCCCAGGAAGAAGAACTGCGTGAGGGACACACTGGTACAGTGTCCTACCACGCCCCCCGCCCCCGTCCGGGCTGCCCCAGTGTTAGAAAACAAGGCACAGAGCGTTCACGAACCACCAAGTCAAAAGGATGAACGTGGACTTTTATCAATTGTCTATCAATCGAATGCCCAAGGTGACATGGCTACAATGTATCAAGGCCCAAGGTGACATGGCTACAATGTATCAAGGCCCAAGGTGACATAGCTACAATGTATCAAGGCCCAAGGTGACACAGCTACAATGTATCAAGGCCCAAGGTGACATGGCTACCATGTATCACATGAAATCCACGCAGTAAAGCCGCCGCCTTGTTGCAGGCGAGCCCCAGCCTCTGCAGACCCTTGCCAAAGCACGGTGTCCAAATGCTGAACGCACAGCAGAGCTGAAGGAACAGCGTTTTCACCGCCGCCAGCTTCTTCCTGTTCGAAAAGGCCCGACAACGGGATCGCAAAGGAGGGCGCCCTTCCCTTGGTTGAATCCATCTGATCAGCTCAAAAAATGCATCGCTGAAACCTTTCTTTAACATTTTCACCCTCACCTGAGAATGTGTTTATTTTTTATTTTAGAGAGGGAGAAAGTGAGGGGGGAGGGAGAGAGGGAAAGAAGGAAAGAGAGAAACGTCGATTGCTTGACCCCTGTCCGCACCCCGCCTGGGGATCGAACCCACGACCTGTGAGTGTACCCTGACCAGAGATCGAACCTCCAAGCTTTCTTGTGCCCGGGACAGCACTTTAAACAGCTGGGCCACCCGGCCAGGGCGCAACCTTTGTTTCAACACAGGGGCCTGGGGCGTGACCGGTTTTTAAAAATTGCGTCCTGC